TTACTTTTGACCCCGCTCTACCCTACGGATTTCACACAATTAATACCCCGAATCGCAGAGGTTGTTACTTCGGTGTAACGCACACCTTCTTGTGCCTGCGCAAGGTGGTCGTTTGCAGAAAGGTCTTGCCGCAATCGTTGCACTTTAAAATTTTACCACAATCGTGACGCACGTGCCATCTTAGGGACTCCTTCTTCGAGTACGAGGCACCGCATCTGGAGCATGAGAAGGGTTTCGACTTCAACGCGTGGTACCTTTTGGAACTCGGGTTCCAGTAGCAGTTGTTCTTCAAATGGTGGTAAAAAGTGCGCTTAAAGTTAAAGCCCTTGCCGCATAATTCACATATATACTTCCGAGCAACGGACGTGAGGAATTCTACAACACAACAATCAACAAGGTTCGTCGTTAGTTACTGGTAATTTCAGTTGGAGACACGCTCCACGAAACAATCGCCAAAATTTCAAAAAGCCACGGAAGATCGTGCTTCGATTCGGCTGATCGTGCTCACGACTGAGTCACAAAAAGCAAACTGAAACGGTCTCGCAAATCTGATCAAATTTTCGACAGTATTTCGACAGTAATTTTAAATTAAATAATCACTGTTACTTATCATTGTAAATCTTTTTAATATGCGACGCTTCTGAGAAATAAAAAATGAGGTAGTTGTTGGATATATAAACTGCTTTTGAATTGCAAAATATAATTTTATGCCACAATAGATAATAAACTTTTGCCGCATTGTATATCATTGTACATAAAATAAGTATGTATACAAAATAAAAAAAACAATCACTCTTATTTATCTTTATAAATTTTCTTGATATACGACGCTTCTAAAAGATACAAAATGAGGTAGTTGCTGGATTCATAAATCGCTTTTGAATTACAAAATACAATTGTATGCCATGATAAATAATAGGCTTTTGCGCATTTTACATCATCATGATATATATAATGTTTCGATGTATATAAATGTGTTACAATGATGTGTATAAAATAAAATGCTGTATCAAAATGCTAACAAATACTTCAATGAAAAATTATTATATATCACAATTAGAGCGATAAACTTAAAAAAAAACTTTTATATCGCCCAGAAAAAATAGAAATATCACTAAACAAGTTTAAACAAGTTTAGTTTAAAAAGAAAAAAAACATGAAAAAATAAAAAAATTTTAAGATTACACTTACTGGTACTTTACAATTCATTTTATATGGTATATACTCGCGCGACAAGATTTCCTATGTCTACAAAAACTCGCCCGATAACCGAACACCTTTTTACATTTTCGACAAATGTATGATTTTCCGCAATCGTTCGATCTGTGCGATTTAAGCGTCCGTGGATTTCTAAATCTTTTATCACAGTCAAGACATCTGTATAATTTATCCGCTTTTGGCTCGATATGAGCTCGACTTGCTACTTCGTCGTCATTCAAATCATCATCTGAATATTCTTCTTTCGGTTCCTCCTTTTTCAAAAATTTCCGTAAATTATACTTGCCTTCACCTATTGTTTGCTTATTATCTGGAATCCAAAATACGTCGAAACATCATTATAATTACATCATAATCATTTTACAATAATTAGCACTTTAATTACACCATCACATATTTTCATTAAACAAAGAATATTCACAGTTGAACGAACTAATATTACATTTTTTCTACTAATATAATACTACATTCTTCCTACTCCCTTTTTTAAATTATATTTAGAATTTTAGAATATAAATAAGAATTTCAAAATACACACAAAACAATATTTCTTAAAAACTAATATTCCCAATTAATTTTAGAATTAATACAAATTTAAATTTCAAAATACATAAAATTTTCCAATTCATAGATTGCATGCCAATTTACGAAAACATTACATAAACTATTTTAACGCCCCATACAATAAATAAATATAAACAATAAATATAAATATAAAAACATTATTTTTTAAATAAAATGCACAATTTTTTTATTAGAATATACAATACAATAAAAAAATGTTTAAAAGTTGATAATTATCAGAGAAAAGCCTCTTTAAAAAAATTGATTTTTTAAAAAAGGTATAAAAAATTCCCTAGAAGAGACAATAATCATATAATTCTAATAACAAAAACAATTTTGCAGCAAAAACATTTTTACAACAAAAACAATTTTACAGTAACGTAGGTATATTAATAATTATCAAAATTTAAAAAAAATCTGATTTGGTGTAATAAAACTTGAAGCTAAAATATTGCGAATGGCATCCTTTACTGATTTCTTATTTTCTCCTGCTTATCCTTTCATTTATATCCATTTCTTTCTAATCTTGCACGAGCATGTTGGATTACGTAAAAAAAAAAAGATGAGATCTTGTAAGATTATGTTCCTGACTTCTCCCTATGATTCTCGAGAAGTCAATCCTAATAAATCGCATGTTTCTTTACGGTTCCAACGTACAGTCATTGCTCTTATTATTACGATATCACAGTCATCTGAAA